GAGGGGAGGCGGAGTTGGTTACAACGGTGAGGGTAGGCGGAGAGGTGGGGGGAGAAGTGGAGGATCCTGGGTAATTAAGGCAAATGGCTCCCAGATGGTGGGCTGTCAGTGACGTGAGGAGAACGACAAGCTCCAAATGGGAACCAGATGCAGCGGCGGTCGCTTTGAACTCGCCGGTGATGCGCTCAAGAGGCGAAATCACTGGCAGGGCTGGCGTCCTCCGAGCGCAAGAAAGAGGGAGACGAGGAAAAAGAGGAAGGAAGAGAGAGCGAGAGACGGTTATTAACAGAACCTAATTCAAACACTTCAGTCACTGGGATTGTCTCGCTGTGCTTTGGCCAGCTCCATTTTTGTAGAATTTGTCAACTATAACCGGAACGCCACTTCACGTATTTCTTCTTTTGAGTCTCCCGGGCAAGTTTCTGACATTTCCGTAAAGGCTTTGATCTGAACTGATGTTAAACTGACAAATACATCCCTAAAAAGAATGAATCTGAAACTATTTAACAGCAGTTTGACTAAATCTTCTTTAATTAAAGATAAATTGTTTAATCTGAGTGTGATTAATAGTAAATGTAACTGTTGATTAAAAGAATGTTTATATAGCCAGCATTCATTAAAAAATAATAATAATTGTGTCATAAAAATGTTTGTGTCATGCCTCAGCAGACCCCTTAAATGAATAGTTCATGGAAAAAATGAAAATCAATGTGCTGTTCCCCATGACTTTATTTCATGGAACCAAAAAAAAGAGATGTTTTAAAGAATCTAGTTGGTTGCTTTTTCATGTAATTACACTGAATTTTCAAGCTTCAAAAAAGATCCAAAAGCATCTTAAAAGTATCGTAAATGTGACTCATGCGCTATATTACAACTCTTCTGAAGCCAGAAATGGACTGAAATTAAATTTGCTGTTCACTGACAATCTTGACATCTGCTCCGGCTTTGGTTGGCGAGTTCAAGAGAGACGTAAGAACGAATCATTCTTTTGAGTTGGATCTTTTCAATGAATCGATTGATCCAGGTTCATAACAGCAGTCTGAATGATATGATTCATTTTTCGAGTTCAACTCACTAGTGATCTAGGTGCAGTGGTTAACAGGCGAAGATTATCCCTTATTTCATGGAAGGAAGGTCATTTGGGTTTGGAATGACATGAGTATGAGTAAATGATAGCTATTAGCTATGCCTCTCTAGGCTTAAGGTTTAAAATTGTGCATAAAGATTTGGAAAGGAATATGCAGTCTTACCTGTAAGTGCAGCTATCACAGATATAATATTAACCGAATGTTGTCTATGCATTGTTCTGATGTTTAGGACGGTGGTGATGCCCATTGCTCAGGAGTTTTCCCCGGACGTCGTGTTGGTTTCTTCAGGGTTTGACGCCGCAGAAGGACACCCTGCTCCTTTGGGAGGATACAGAGTCACTGCTAAATGTAGGATATTTCTGTTGATAATGTCCTTGAAGTATTATCTTGAAACTGAAATATGAATACTTTTAAAGTGAAATTCATTTCTATAAATTGCATTGTCTCAGAAAATGTTTCTGTTTCTGTACTGGGACAGTAATGTTGTTATTGGTCTCTCCGCAGGTTTCGGGTTTTTGACTCGGCAGTTGATGGCGTTAGCAGGAGGACGCGTGGTTCTAGCATTAGAGGGAGGTCACGACCTCACAGCCATATGTGATGCTTCTGAGGCCTGTGTCAGCGCTCTGCTGGGACTGGAGGTCAGATTTCATGCAGAAGCTATCCAAATACCATCACCAGTATTCATTTATTACACCTTTATAATCCTGTTATACCATTGCCGTTAACCAATAGTGAGCACTCTCTCGTTATGTTAACATGACTTTTCTGGCAAAGTCTTGCATGACGTGCTCTTTGTTCTAAAGGAAAAACAAAACACCCTTTTTCATCTCGTTTTCTCTTAGGAGTCTCTTCCTGAGTCGACTCTCCTCCAGACGCCCAATGCCAACGGAGTGCTTTCACTCCAGAGAGTGCTACAAATACAGAGTGAGTGTCTCGCGCTCCTCTCATCCCAGTCTGCCTCTAATTATCCTGAAATGCACTGGCTTCCTGGTAGCACACATTTGTTTAATTCTTTGTCATTAATTATAATCATGATCACCGTTGTTGCACCACATGGTTCCTGCTCTGCCAAAATATTCCTATAAAAACTACCTCTCTCACGCTGTTTCTGTGCTATTGCCATTATCTGCCTGCATCTCTGTAGTTTTCAACCATCTGTCATCAAGACTCGTCACTCACATTTTCAGACCTGTATGACTTTGTCTTCGGTTGAACCCAAAAAGAAAGCGTGTCCAAGCTGCTTTTTTCTATGCACAAAAGTGTACAATGATTCACACAGGCAAGGTCCAATAAGGACAGTTTTTATTATTATTAGAATTTTATATGTAGTCTATATGAGGACGTACAATATCTGTGTTTGAGAAACCAACCTAAAAGTCTCCATTATCTTTCCCTCTGCTATAGTTCTCCAACATCATGGAAACCTCGTCGGTTCTTGAGTGTCAAACAAGCACGTTTGAGCTTGTGTTTACCATAGTTGATGTGTCTATGTATGTGCGCTGAGAAATGTTTATATGTGAATAAAAGCCTAAATTAAATCTGTTCATCTTATAAAGTGATCCAGACGACTTGGCTTAAATCGCTCGGTTCATATGAATTACTTTTACAATGTCTTTATGAACTTTTTTAAAGCGTCAAAGTTCTGGTTCTGTGGATTTCAGTGGAGGGACAGAAATCTCTCAGGTTTCATTAAAAATGTCTTGGGTTTGGAATGACATGAATATGAGAAATGAATGACAGAATCGTC